CGAGCAATGTTCAAGAACAAGCCGTCACTCATCTTCATGATCGTAGCTTTATGCACAACCCGAACCTTCCTCTTGCCTACGTCCTCTGCATACTGAAACGCGAATCTCAATACCCGTTCAGAAGCAGCCCGGGTGATCAATTTTATGCTCTGTACAACACCGTCGATCACGACATGTTCAATCCCACTGTATTCTCCTTCGGTGTTTTCGCGGATAAGGACGGTGTCGACATTGTCATAGGGGGTTTTGTAGCCGGCGATAGACACGCAGGGACGGACGTTGGCAAAGAGGTTGAATGTACGGCGAAGAGTGAGATTGAGAGAGACGTGGCCTTTTCCTATCGGGGTCTGCTACGACATTAGCCTCTGATCCTCTTAGACAGGCGTTGGAAAATCCTACGGCTAGAGGTCCTTTAAGCGCAACGAAGTTTGTTTTGACACTATCAATGGCTTTGTCAGGAATGACGGTTCTGCCGTCCTTCAATTGGGGTGTGACATCTACAGATTCCCACTTGATTGGGACCTGAGAAGTATCAGCTCAAATTTGAGAGCAGAGTAGGAGGTTGCACGTGCCTTAGCTGCGGAGAAGATGTCCTTGACAGACTGCGATATCTCTGGGCCGATACCGTCTCCTTCAATTAGTGTGACTGTATAATTGCCCTGGATCCATGAAAAGATGAGCGCAGTGTTCTTTCAGACTTCTTATCCACTAGGCAAATTGTGTAGGGTCTTTGAGTATTCGGGTATCACATACATCTGAGCCTTTCTTCCCTTTGAACTTGGCAACTTTGTCTTCATATGGGATCGAGTAAGACCTGAATTGAGTCTTGATCACAGGCAGGTTCGTAAGCATTGTCTTCAGATGCAGCACATGCAATTGGACCTCACATACTTGTGCTATTGGTGCTATTGCGGGGACCCATGGGCGAGACACGTTAGCTATACGCAGACACTGCCTCGCTGGAACAGTAAACGAGCGACTAGCTATCATCTTGGAAACCCGTGTGCTCTCTTGGCGCACGATTGGTCCCCCAGAAGCTGTAGGAAAGTGAGGTAACAGTTTTGAATATGAGTATGTAAGGACAGCTGATAGAGAAGAAGCAATTTACCTGCAGCTCAACTCAACCCTCCCGCGCTATTGCTTCGGAACGAAACCTTATGTTCCATTGCACCTCGGCTGGTCCCGCATACAAGTCGAAGCTCTGGGGTACACAACTGTCGCATGGTTCAGAGTGCAATCCATCAGCGAGTCTTACTATTGATCTTAGAAGCCTTCCAAAATTCACGCAACCTTGTGGATAACCACAGATGCTGCCAGAATGAACGATGAGCATACAATCCTCAATCATTACAATCTGACCAGTCCTTTCCCCACAGCTTGGCCTGCAGAGAAAGATGAAAGTGACGCTTCAGAGGAGGAACTTACCGCGAGCGGTCCCTCAAAGACTGCCATTGGTCAATCCAGATCGAGGTACTCGGCTCTGCAACGCAATGGCAGCGATCATCGTCGCTTAATACCCGGGTCCCAGAAGCTTCGGGACGGTCATGAGAATCTGGTACAGAGGGACGAGCCTGACCCTCTCGGAGTGACGGATAGTGTTATACGTGTGCTGAGACAAAAGGGTCTGCCGGTCGAGGAAGACCAGCGGTTAAGTGAGGACTGTCCATCCTTTTACGATCACAGCATGCTGATTGCGTTCAGGGAACAGATTCCTCCTATCCTCTACTACCTTTTCTCCAAATCTATATCTATCACAGGTCCATTCAAATGCTTCAACCCAATCCTTGCTGCAAGGTCTCGACTTTCTCTCGCGATCTATAGATCAGAAATCTGCGTCTTTAAAAGTACTCGTGGAGTCTAATTTTGAACGATTCGTCCGGGCAAAAACCACGATTGACAATGTCTACTCCGAGATGCGTAACCAAGGCGCAGAGCCCGAACAGGACAGATCACGCACTCACTCCCGAGTCACCAGCAGGGGCAGCACACATTTCAGGAACGCCAGCGGGCAGGGTCCTCTATCTCCTGGAAGAGGCGCCAACAAGCCATTGCAAAGCGACAAGAGAAAGAACGCCCTGACGAAGGAGAGCGAGTACGGAGTGCAAGGCATCAAAGCTCCTCTGATCGAGGTTGCAGTCAAGGCTGAAGAAATATGGGGTCCAGCTTTGGGTGGACGAGAACGGGAGGGAAGCTTGAAGTCAGTAATGGATTCTGTCGACAAAAGCCACGAGATACTCAAGGTGGGAAAGGCTGTGTCCGAGTGCATCAAGCGCAATGACTACGAGGGTCTGGTGAGAGAATACTCTGGAGCTCGAAAATATACAGAAGACGCCAGGCAAATAGCCAGCAACGCATCGAATGGCCACGCACAGCTCACGGACTCCCAAGTCCATCAAATCGTCATCACTGGCCGCATGTGGTCCGAAGTGGAGGACCGGATCGAACATTTCAAGCGCGACATCTGGCGGAAGCTAACCAACGTTCAGAACAACGCAACATCATCCACAGAACGTAATGCGCAGGATGATCACATGGCGCTAATCGGCATCCTTTTAGAACTTGGAGTGGAAGACAATCCAATCTGGGTATGGCTGCTGAGCCGATATGACCATTTGAAGAACAAGATCAATGCTACCTTTGAGCGCTCAAGGGTAGAAATTGAGGTCCTTCGCAGAAGACTTGCGAACATAGAACCACCATTTTCTCGGGTCGTTGCTAGTCATCTGCAAAGCCCCGCTCGGAAGGACGCTGACGAAACGAGCAAAGACCTGGATACGCCGCCTGTTCTAGAGCTTTGGGATCTCATATATAATTCGTTGAACAACCTGCTGTCAGTGCAGGGTGGGATCCTGGGCGAAGTAATTGAATTTTGGGGCAATGCTCAGACCTTCATTGACGGCAAAGGACAGAAAACACTGCCAATAGGGATCGACGGCCGTAGCCGAAAACATCACCGACTGTCTACAGATGGTGTCAAAGATCTCCAAAACGGAGCCGCCGAGCTCGTTGGCATATTGCAAGAGAACATATACTCGTTTTTCGCAGACCCTCCGATCGAAGATATTTCCATGCTTTATTCCCCAACAACACCAACACCGGTCACACCACAATCTGCCACACTGTCGCCGTATGCCCACCAGGATTCTCGTTTCAAATTCGATGAAAACCATCCACCGCCTCCTTCCCTTCGACGAGGTGAAGCATGGGAAGAGTTCGCGTTCTGGCCTCCATACGCAAATTCGCTGAGCGGAGTACACTACCTCGAAAAGCTTCTCACTTTGCTTGGCTCAGCAGCAAGTGAAGCTATTGCCATGCGCCCAATAGCATCTGGGCACACTTTGTCCGAAAAGCTGAGGACCATGGTCACTAGTGCGCGAGAAAGGTCGGCACGAGCAGCGTGTGCGGCATGGGGTCGAGACGCTGAGATGTGTAAGGTTATGGAGGATTGGTCACGGGCGTCCGATCAGCCTGAACTGACCAATATGCCGGCTCGATTTTCAGCTTTGGAGAACACGGTGTTGTCAGGCATGCAGAAGATACTCTACATACCTGAAGCAGCTGTGACCAAGTCCGGATCAGTAGCTGTTGTTTCCCCTCCGACTGCAAAGCTGGTACAGATGGTCAGAAGTCAGTTCGTAACGTCACTCTACAAAGCCTTGTCTGGTATGGTTGAGAACGCCGAGAGTTCAAAGCCACACAACGCGAAAGACGAGGTCGCAAGCTCCGATGACATGGTTGGCTCAAGAGTCATCGACGAAAGCCTTCATGGAAAGAATAAAGTGACTTCCTCCACGCAGCTTCTCTTCGACAATCCGCTAACACTGCACAGAACATCCGCAAGCTCCTGACCCTCTCCAACCTCGCAGCTCTTCAAAGCTCTATCGTCCCTAACCTGACCTCCCAATTCGAAAGCAACTTCTCCATAACGCTTACTGACGAATCCAAAACCCTCCGTGATGCTCTTTCCCAAATCTCCGAACGCCTTTTTCTCTCCTATACGCAACCTACAGCCAATGAGCTTTCCTCTATCATCTATGCCGGCATCTCCTCTTCAGATTGGGTACCCGCCACCGCCCGTCCGTCCGCCGTCCAGCCATATGTCTACGAATCGTTATTGCTACTAGTCTATGTGCACACTGAAGTCTCCACAACCGCGGCACCATTGACCAATCAGATTCTCTCTCACCTCCTCGAACAAATGAGTCTAGCTTTCCTAGAGGCATTTAAACAAAGGTCGCGATATCCCCTTGCGGCTCTCATGCAAGCAACGCTTGACGTCGAGTTCGTCGCTCAGACTTTGAGTCAGTACACGACAGAGAAAGCGAGCGAGACTCAGTCCAAGATATATATCGAGCTTGACGCTGGCACAACGCCAGATGCAAGTAAACGATTGCAAGGAGAGTTACCCGAGATGAGGATGGTCTTGAAAAGACTAAGGGAAGGCACTAGGAGCGAGTTCCTCTGTTTCAAAAGGGAGAAGAAGCTCCAGAGCTGAGATCGAGACGTATAAGCAGTCACTATGAAATCATTGATGCGACGTTTATGTCAAGATACTGCGCTACCCATAGAGCGTGCCACACAAGGTTCGCAATCGACTCGCGTCCATTATGGACCCATTTTTCCAGGCCATTAGCCGTCGCTGGCGCAATGTGCAACCGTCTGCCATGAGCATAGAGCTTTATGCGTATGATGTCAAGGAAACATCTCTAGTCGGAGGCTTCAGCAGGCTTTGTCCCAAAAACATCGCACACTCCAGCACTTTGTTCACCTTGGCCGTCGTGTATACGTAGCTTGCGCAATCATAACCTCAGCTCACTACCGTTTAATGTCACTTTTCCTTCCTTGCCTGAGTGCTATGCGGCTGAAGATAACCAAGTGAGTCTGACATTTGCGTCTAACTTCGTTCAGACCAATAATCCTACTATCATATCACCCACATTTCTGTTGAATCCTCTTCAACATTTGCACCGATGACAGGGCTAAGCCATAGCGACGACAAAATGTCAAGCGACGATGAGCAAGTCTCGGTTCTCGTCGTTGGGGGCGGCCCCACTGGTTTACTCACCGGCTATGGTCTGGCTCGTTCAGGAATTGCCTGTGTGCTTGCGGAGAAAAATCTAGGAACCACAAAGTGGCCCAAGATGGATCTTACCAACTGCAGGTCGATGGAAATCCTACGAACGTGGGGTATCGCCCAGGAGTATCGAGATCAAAAGGGTGCAGTGCCAGACGAGTATCAGTCCGACTCTCATTTTTACACAAGTATGAATGAAGACGGGCTGCTGCTTGCAAATTGGGTATCTGATTGGTGGAATGTTCTAATGATATGGCGCTGATCATGGGGATAGGCATTACCCTCGATGAAAGACTGGCAGGATGAAATCCAAGCCAATAACAATGGGAGTCAGCCAGCCGAAACCGGTCAGCGATGTTCTCAGATAATTTTCGAGACATGGATGAAGCGGAAGTGCCTTGAGCAACGGCTGATTGATTGTCGATTTGGCTACGAGTTCCAATCTCTTGTAGAGAGCGACGGGGAAGTTACCGCAACTTTCACGGATCAAGCCAATGACACAAGAGTGATTCGAAGTCGATTTTTGGTGAGCTGCGATGGAGGGCAGAGTCGAGTACGAAAGAGCGCGGGAGTCAAAATGGTTGGAGGACAAATGTTAGAATCCACTCCTCCCTCCCAAAGGTTGCACACTGAATCGATTGATTTAGGCTTGCGACAATGCTCCTCGTCCATTTCCGATCCAGAGAGTTTGCGAAATTGCGTCGTTTTGGTCGTTTTGGCATGCCTTTCCTCCTGACAGGGTGAGTACATCTCAAATCCTTGCCATAAGTTCGATTAGGAATCTGAGTTGTATGGGATGTTTCCCAACCTCTGGAAATGGGACCAAATTTGGTTCGGTCCTGGAAGAGATCAGCTAACCCTAGAAACCACAACAGAGCTTCTTGATTGCCCAGGACGCAGTGTATTGGATTGTCCCCTCTCTTTGGACGTTAAAAGACTGACAGCCATATAGAGATACCTTCACCGCGCACTTAATGCTGGACAACCCAAACATCACGGCAACAACCTTAGACCCCCAAGAGGCTATTTACCGGGTTTTAGCAGGGGCGGCAGGCAAATATCCCGTAAAGATTGGCCAGATCCTTTTCTGTAACATATGGCACCCTAACCTCGCTCTTGCGGAACACTACGCATCTGACTCAGGAGCGGTTATCTTAGCAGGAGATGCCGGTATGTTGATCCATCTTCAAGAGGTCATATGTCTGACTGGATTTAGCTCACAAGGATCCACCGCACGGCGGGTACGGTATGAGTTCTGGCGTCGAAGATGCCCTTGCCGTTAGCTGGGGATTAGCCGCCGTTCTCAAGGGTTATGGAGGCCCATGTTTACTGGCTTCGTACCTAGATGAACAAAGGTCAACCATGATTGACCGCCTAGAGCGTTGCAGGCGCCATGTCATCGAGCATAAACTAAGGGTATAGTGGTATCAGGATAACCCAAAGCTTCTGACCGCTGGCACTCCCGCCGGCATTGCGTTGCGGGAGAAGCTTTCTTCCTACATTACCACATCCGGTAGCGAGTATCGAGATCGAGGAATAGAACTGGACTCTCGCTACAAGTCCGCTGCAATATCTTCTGACAATACCGAGGAACCGCCATATGATGTGAAAGCTTACGTCTCTAGTATGGACCCCCCAATTATTTCATCTGTCTCATATTCCGATTCCGTCACGCTGATCAATCGATAGGTACCAGACCCGGCCACCGAGCTCCTCATGTCTTTCTCAAGGACGGTAAAACAAGTACTGTTGATCTCATTGCTGGCCAATGGACCCTTGTTGACTTTGTGGACTCATGTTCCGACAGCACCGCGGTGGACGGGTTTGTTCCCATGGCACGAAAGCAATTCGGCATTCCCTTGAACCACGCTGTTCTGCGATCCGAGCAAGCCGCTCATAGCATATGGGGAACTAATTTGGCGCTCTGCCGTCCAGACGGTCACGTTGCCTGGCGTGCCAATACCATGCCCGAATCTGCCGAAGCGAGGAAAGAGATTCTAGCAACCGTGACTGGATACCAGATTCATGAGGATTATAACAAGCGAGAGATGGACGAAGATAGGGTACGCGCTAAAGTTGGGATCGCTACCTCTTTTCAGACTGCTGTACTTGCGCACGACGACGACGACGATGATGATAAAGGCGTCTGAAAGATTGTCATTTTTTTATTTTTTTTTCTCACTCACACGTCGCACTTGACACGTGACATATCTGAGATACTCCCGAGTATTAACCCCTTTCCCTTTTAGCACGGAATTCCGGAAAGTCAATTCGTTATGACGAAATACCTCGGGCTGCTTGCCGACGAAGGGGAATTAAATGTCATTCACTCGATTCTCTTCTTCATGTTTACCGCTCATACTTATTGATTTGATAGAAAAAGAAAATACAAACATAATCTTACATTGACCTGTCAATCCTACTTACTTCTTTTACTTCTTTACTTCCTCCTACACATTTCAAGGGCACAACAACCTCGTTGGCATCGAGAGTAAAAGCAAATCATGCCTCCCTCCGTATGTCCCAAAAATTTAAAAATGTCTATACAAGAACATCAATATACTAATGTTTGCTTCTATTAGGGTCTGGCAATACTCATTGGAGCGGTCAGTTCCCACAGTAGCCTCGCCATCCCCATAGAGGCATTGACAGCCTTTCTACACAGGGACCTACCAGCGGCGCAGGCATATGTAGAATACTCGCACATCCATCTCATGGAAATCTTGCCGTCGCTGTTCTGGCTCGAAATTCGGATAATCTGAATGCGGTAGCGAAAGGAATCCGCTCGTCCACTCCCAACCCAGTAGAAGCCTTTCCCACCGACACCTCGCCCGAGAAGCTCTCCAAAGCTTTCTCCGACATCCGCTCCCATAGCTCCTTCAAGGGCTTGAAGCTCAAGGTGGCTGTTTTTCATGTCAAACATGCCTCCAAGGTAACACACTGCTCTGACGTTTTTGATTCTTACTTCACCTGACATGCAAACGATAGAAACCTTTTCTTGAGGAATCTCATTCCGATTTCACCGAATCGCTCAACACGTATGTTGGAGGTGCAATGGCATTTTCAAAGGAGGTAGTGAGGATGCTCTTCGACCAACACGGACAGATACTTCTGGCAGACGGTGGTGGAAAGAAAGGCACACTGATCTTTACTGGGACCCTCGGGGCCATGAGAACGAATGCGAACTTTGCGGCATATGGAGCTTCGCGGTCAGGGGCACGGTCGCTGGCCCAAGCCTTAGCGAAAGAGTACTCGCCGAGTAAGTGCGCTTTTGTATTGGATCTTTCGCATTGTGTACCGTGCACAGAGTCGCAAGAAATACTTGGAGTCTTCTATCCAACAGATACGTCTTGTTGTTCAACCATAGAATTGGACTGAAAATGTTGACTCTAAAATATCTAGGTGGCATACATGTCGTACATACAATAGCAAACGGGTAAGTACATCGCCAAGTCATCGCATCCTGTATTCTGGGGCGGGAGAAGTGTAGAGGAAAAGGCCCTGTCTTTGAATCAACTTCCACCTAGAGAAATCCTGCTAATTCCGACAACTTACCAAGCGGGATCAAGGACGAAGATGGGGAAGCACAGCACCAGGGCAAAGTCATGAAGGCTGAAAGCGTGGGGTGAGCCGACTTTGATCTGAGAACATTGTGGATACGTACTGACCGTCGAACAAAGTAAAACGTATCTATGGCTAGCGAACCAGGAACCAGACCTGTGGACACATGAATTGGATTTGAGACCTGCTCAAGAAAAGTTCTGATGTTACTTGTATCAAAAAGACCAACAACGGGATAGTCGAGCGAAGCACCGACAAAATGAGCGTACGTAGAGCCTGGCACCACCCAAAGAAGTGCCCTTTCTGATCCTTTCTGGCCTTTTCGTGATTCATGGCAAAAGGATGAAAGCGGCCTGTTAAAAAGCAAAAGTCTAAATCCTTCAATCTGGCGCCGCTCACAGAGGTAATCTGAACGCAGACTGTTCGTATTGTGTGGTCGCAAGCCAGAGGTTGTTGAGCGCTTGAGCTTTCGGCATTCTCAGGACCGGTCGGGCTTTGGAGCTCTGTCCTCTGCTATGAGGATTAACGACGACCAGAGTACTCAGAAAAGGCTAGCGAGATGATTCATTTTCAGGCCTCAAGCGAAGTGGGAAACCCACCCATTCCAATCGACGATAGACTGTAGATAGCATCGAAATTCGATTGCTGGCGATAGGACGTTGAATCAAAATCAATCACTGCAAGCACGAAAGGAAAAGGTTGGCAATGGAAAAGATTGGCAGTGTTGCTCAGAATCTATTGAAAGGGTTGTATGCAGGCAAACAGTCAGCAGCATGATTTACCACACCTCGTCTTCCGCTACGTCATAGTCGACTTCGGTGTTGGCCAACACAGTTCCCTTGTCAGCGTGATGATCATCCGCCCTTGTGCCACCCATTCCTGTGTCGCCATCGGTCTCCGCCTGTTTCGGTGTCGGTTGGCCAGACACACCTGGAGCATTAAACCACGCGAAATCCAGTTTTCCGACCAATGGAATATCATGAACGCCGTACATAAAGGTCTCTGCCGTGGGTCGGTCTTTGAAAGTAACGACTTGGGTATCAGGGCGATCCGGATGACCTTCGATGGCCTCGAACTCGCCCACTCCCTGCATTTCCACAACATCAGTCTCCAAAGTGTCAGCCAAAGAGTCCAAAGTCGAAGACCTACCAGCAAATACTGCCTCAGAGCCTCGTCTTTCTCTCCACTGAGGTCGCCCGTGACCGCCACTTTTTCGTTCGATTATCCAAGTTGTATTTCCCACCGCCTCTGCCCACAAAAGCGCTTCTGCCACGGGGGTTTCCCCTGAATGATTCCGAGCCCGAGGCAAACCCTTCCCAACCTAGTAGATTCAGAGTCAGTATTGCCTGTTCGAGGTTGTCTATCGAGCCTTGGAACATGTCTACAGAATAGGCGGCTCCAAGACGTGTCTCAAGACTCAACATGGACTCGGAAAATACGCACCGCGATAGGAACCCCGACCCCTGCCTCTTCCTCGTCCTCTATATTGGTAAGGCGTATCGCTTAGCGCTGAATCCAGGCCCAGGCTCTTAGCCTCTGCCTCCAGTTCTGCGACTTTCTCCCGTAACGCCTTCGTGTGCGCGCTCACTTTGTTGTCGTCCGCCCCATGGCTTCCATTTGTAGCGTCAGTCATTGATGTATCGCCGTTAGGAGCCACAACCTTTGCCGCTAACTTTTCGAGCAGCCTCCGCTTCTCTTCGGCTTGCTTCTGGGCTAATTCTTCTTTCTGCTTCTCTAGCGCATGCCTCTTTGCTTCCACGTCTTTCATCTGGACTTTCTTCTCCTCCAGCTTCTTCTGAGCTGCCACCGCATCTCGCTCGAACTTCTCTCTATCAAAGGGTGGTCCTTCGTCCTTGGACATGGGAGGCGACTTTACGGTTCCTTTGGCAGTCGCTGGTGGAGTAGGTAGTCCACCGGGCTTATACCAGTAGACCTTAACAAATCTATTTTCGAATATAACTTTCGGGCTTTCATAGGCTCTCCTGGCAGCCATGTAATCGTCGTACTTGACTAAAGCAAGGCGTTTATATGGCTGCATTGTGACTTGCTCAATGTTGCCAAACTCGGAAAAGAAGTCTCGGACAGATCGGTCGTCGAATTTCTCCTCTGGAATCTGTTCGACAACAATAGTGGTTATGGACCGGTCGTGGTTGGGACCCGCTTGAGAAAAGTCGGCCCGGTGGTTGTTGCGCCGCTGCAAGAATCCCCCCCCGGTCTCCTCTTCCTCTTCCTTGAGTATACCCATTTCCTCGGTGCTCCTGTGATCCACCGTGTCCATTCGACGTAGGGGAGGTAGCCTGCGGGTTCATAATGGTCGAATTCTTCGGGTCGTATTCTGGACAACATTAGCTCCACCCACTTCACATAGATGGGAAACCTACCGTCTTGACCAGATGCGACCAGTCGATCTGTGCCGTGCTCGTAGGGACAAGCGTCCCCCCTTTCGCAAAAGAATTTCTCATCGTAATCCCTACATCGCTCCCTATGAGTGTTTCTCCGGGGCCCATGTGAAGGTGATAGGCTTTGCCCTCCGAATTGGGGTAAAACGTTCGGTGAGCCTGCTTGAGGAAGCGGTGGCATGCCAGGAAGCGGCGGTAATCCCATAGCTTGCATGGCCATTATTGTCGCAAGCGGATCATTGGGATCGAAAGGCGGCGGCATTGGCATATTTTGAAAGCCCAGTGCTACCGGTGAGGCTCGTGCTTGAGGATACATGGATTCTTGAAAGCCTCCTCTTCCATTTCTAGGCACGAATGCATCTGCTCTACCACCCCTGCCACCTCTCCGCATCTGCTTTATTTGGCGCTCACCTCGCGAATAATGCGAGTCAATCCCAGGACCCTCTTCTTGTCTGTCATTGTACGAGCGCTTCCTTGACTCTTGATATCCCCCGTGCAACCCTCGCCCAACGCCAAGTGAGCCGTATGCGCCAGCAGGTCCTGAGGGAGCTGCGAAAGTTGGACTGGTGGACGAAGCGCTCTGAGGAATCAAATTCCTGGGAGAGTAGGATCTGGTATGGATTGCCTTGAATATCTCGTCGACGAATGTGGCAGTGTCTAGGTTATAACACAGGGCCACGGTCAGCCTGAAGCTCACGCTAGCATGTACTGCATCTCTTGGGATTTCCTACATACTGTCTTTCAGGAAGTCTTCCAGGCAATCGACTGCGGTCGTCCTTAGCTCTGACTCTGGGGTGTCTGCGCGCATCAAAGCTATAACGTAATCTGCCAGGACGTCGGAATCTGCGTCGGAGCTTCAAAATTGCGGCAGTCAGCAAGACTCGAGATCATGAGGAATGATCTAGAAGTCTGGAAGGAAACCTTCTCAGCAATGGATCCTCACATACATGTTCTCGAGTCTCTTCACCACCCATGTTTTCAACTCTGCGGCATCTTCTTCTTCGATCAGCATCTTGTCAGGTGAAGGGCCAACTATCGACTTGGCCGGAATAGATGGTACAGAGCTCAGCTCTAGAACTAGGCCAAAGGCAAATGTGAAGCAAAATATAACAATGTACTTCACTTTGTTTGCTATTTTTCCGCCGGCAAATAGTTTGACCGCTAGCTTACCCCTATATTCTTAATCATTAGAAAACAAAAAAGTTCCCGCAAGCACCCCCCCCCCTGGAAAACAGGGATTGAAATTTCTTAAATATCTTTATAATTATTACTCTTTATAATCTATTATTTATATTACTCTTACTTATAATAATAATTAATTAATTCTAAGATTTTTAAAAGATTTTAATTTAAATATTATAAGATATAACATATCTCTAATTATATAATTATTACGTTTTTAATTATATTCTTAATATAACTTAACGATTTCTTTAACTTTCTTCTTCGATAGCTTTTAATAATTTAACTTATATTATTTAAAGAAATATCTTTCTTTATACTTTATAACTACTTTTACTAATTTAAGAATATACTTACTTTCTTTTTATCGTAACTCTAATAGTAATACTTAATAGAAAAAAGAAAAAAGTTCTATAGTTCTAGTATATCTTAAGATTAAAAATTAAAATATTAATTATTTTAATATAGATTTATAATTATAATTAATTATAATTTAAAAATTATATATTTTATATATTATATATTTAAGTATTTATTATTAAAGAATTTAAAAAAAACGTAAGTAAAATATTAAAATATTAATTTAATATTACGTTAAAAAATTATCTCGACTATTAAATAAGTTTTAAGATTAAGATTTTTTTATCTTAACTATTTTAAAGCTATAAAGAGTATTTTATAATATTTACTATTATTCTATTTTATAATATAGCGAATAATTTAAATCTTTTAAAAACTTTATAATCTAATCTATATTATATTTATTATATTTTAATAATTTTCTAAATTATATTAGTTAAAATTCTTAATTTTTTAATTTTAAAGTATATTAGAATTATAAATTTTATTTTTCTTTTTTTAAGAATTATATAATTAGAAGTAAACTAAGAATATATACTCTACAAGTAAAGGCCCATGAATTAAATTCATGGAGTTGGATTTTTCTAAGTCAAATCGAACTCTGATCGCTTGCTGTGCGTTTTTGACCTACATACAGGCATATATGTACGGAGAGAGGCGCGTTAAGGCCTAATTAGGAAGGTGTATTAAGTGTGGAGGATTGATTCGTAATAATTGCCTATAAAAAATAGAGAAAGGCTATGTCCTTATGGCAAGAAGTATCGAAATACTGGAAAGAAATGGAGACAACATGTCAATTAGTGGTGTGAATCCCATATTATCTCCTGCCGTAGTGAAATCTTTCGAATAATAAAATAGCTGTTAGAGTAAGATATCGGACGATTTTAATTCGTCCAAATATGTATCGTTCCGGAGTGATGATTTGATGTGGAACCGTGGAGAGTATATGACGTGGGATCTTGGAGAGCTGAGCCGTGTTCTTGACGATGGTGGCCTTGTTGCCGCTTGGTTTCTCCGTAGTGTTCTCCGCATTTGCCTGTTGTAGTTTCTCCTCTTGCTTCTTAATGTAGTGGGGATGATAGGCCAAGTTGTAGTGGTGTTCTCCGCTTGCTGAGTAATGATTTGATGTGGAATGGCCAAGTTGCAGTGGTGTTCTTCGCTTGCTGAGTGATGATTTGATGTGGAACCGTGGAGAGCATATGACGTGGGATCTTGGAGAGCTGAGCCGTGTTCTTGACGATGGTGGCCTTGTTGTCGCTTGGTTTCTCCGCAGTGTTCTCCGCATTTGCCTGTTGTAGTTCCTCCTCTTGCTCCTTAATGTAGTGGGGATGATAGGCTAAGTTGCAGTGGTGTTCTTCGCTTGCTGAGTGATGATTTGATGTGGAACGGCTAAGTTGTAGTGGTGTTCTCCGCTTGCTGAGTGATGATTTGATGTGGAATCGTGGAGAGTATATGACGTGGGATCTTGGAGAGCTGAGCCGTGTTCCTGACGATGGTGGCCTTGTTGCCGCTTGGTTTCTCCGCAATGTTCTCCGCATTTGCCTGTTGTAGTTCCTCCTCTTGCTCCTTAATGTAGTGGGGATGATAGGCCAAGTTGTAGTGGTGTTCTCCGCTTGCTGAGTAATGATTTGATGTGGAACGGCTAAGTTGTAGTGGTGTTCTTCGCTTGCTGAGTAATGATTTGATGTGGAATGGCTAAGTTGCAGTGGTGTTCTCCGCTTGCTGAGTGATGATTTGATGTGGAACCGTGGAGAGTATATGACGTGGGATCTTGGAGAGCTGAGCCGTGTTCTTGACGATGGTGGCCTTGTTGCCGCTTGGTTTCTCCGCAATGTTCTCCGCATTTGCCTGTTGTAGTTCCTCCTCTTGCTCCTCAATGTAGTGGGGATGATAGGCTAAGTTATAGTGGTGTTCTCCGCTTGCTGAGTAATGATTTGATGTGGAACGGCCAAGTTGTAGTGGTGTTCTCCGCTTACTGAGTGATGATTTGATGTGGAACCGTGGAGAGTATATAACGTGGGATCTTGGAGAGTTGAGCCGTGTTCTTGACGATGATGGCCTTGTTGCCGCTTGGTTTCTCCGCAGTGTTCTCCGCATTTGCCTATTATAGTTCCTTCTCTTACTTCTTAATGTAGTGGGGATGATAGGCCAAGTTATAGTAGTGTTCTCCGCTTATTAAGTAATGATTTGATGTGGAATCGTGAAGAGTATATGACGTTCGGACGCGTTTGGTGTGACTATAATATTTGAATGTTAGTTTAACCCACCTACCGCTGGCTTGGGAGGAGTATATAGGGGAGAACGTATTCGTTTGGGCTCTTTTTGAGGGTTTTCTAATGCGTTTATGAGTAGTAGTAGGTAGCTATTAGGCTCGCTTGCGGCCTCGATTGCTAGTAGTAGCGGATTTCCTTAGCGGAGGGCTATGAGTTGCGCTAACCGTACCTTAACCAAATTAGTAAGATTTACCGCCTTTTGGCGGTAGCTTTGTAATGCAACCATGATTTCGAAAGGGATCAAATACGTCATATATTTTTAGTGGTGCTTTTTTTGAAATGGTAGCAAATTGGTTTCGCTCAACAAGCGTACCAAATTTTGATACGTCAAATCGGAGGATCTGGTTTATTACGGTAGTAATTATGAATTAGTAGAATAACGGTATTTATATAGATACCTTAGTAATAATAGATTTATATAAACTACTTTATATAGTCAAATAAGCTCTTCTCCAGCTCAAGTAAATTTGGTCGAGTAATAAAAATTTGTAGAGTAAGGTAGTCTCGTAGTTCGAATCAACAACGAATGCATCTTTTATTTAAAATTAATTAATTTTATAAATATTCTATTCTTAATAGACCTTAACTAATATTGCAGTCCTAATTTTTTTATTCTTTTCGAAATAGTTTTTAATTTTATAACGATTTCTCGGTTTCCATAATGATATCGTAACGGTATCGCAACGGTGTTATAACGGTTTTAATCTATAAAACGTTTTCAAAATATTACAGTTGTTTCAACTCGATACGATTTTTTATTAATACGTACTAAGATATATAACCGTTAATTATTTAATCCGTTTTTTATTCTTTATCGTCTAAAGGCGGAGGTGGTCTACTAATACGTCTTAATAAAATAATCGTATATTTATCGTATATATATAGTAAAAGAAGGTCGCTACTACTCGCTAAGGTTGCTGAGAGATAATCTGAGGGCGTTAGTAAGGGGCTCTAATTGGGCGAGAGATATCGAAGACGATTATATTTATATTAGTGAAATTGATAGAATTAATAGAATTGATAGAATTAATAAAATAATAAAAGAATAATAAATAGATAACGCGTCTGGTGTGACTATCATAACTATTATATTTAAATATTCATTTAATTTACTAATAGTAGGTTAAACTTTATAATTTTTATAGCGTTAGAAAGCGTAAAGCGAGCTTTATAATTTGAGGAATTATGAAGTAATTGTATGTATCGTAAGCTGAGTACTTTAAAGTGTAAAACTTCTATATATAAATTTTTAATAAGGGAGCTTAAGAGGGCTAGCGGGCTAACTTAGCCGGTCTAACTAAAGAGCGTAGTAACTCTAAATTTATAATTAACTATATATATAAATTCAAGATTTTATAGCTTAGCCCTATCTTATTCTTTTATATATACTAATATTAAAAAATTATCTCGATTATTCTATAATCGCTAAGAATTTTTTAAAAAAATTAAGAACTTAATAGATTTTTAATTTTATTATATAGTAGACGAGTAAAGATTTATAAATTAAATTTATAATCATTTTTTTTAATTAGGGCTGTCGAGTAAATTTAATAAGCGAACTTTTAATAGACGATATTTAAATTCGTTGCCTTTAAACATTTATAAAATTAAATTTAATAATTCTTTTTTTATCTAAAAGCCTACATTTCGTTCTATAATTTAAACAAAAATTTTAAAATTTTAATAGAAAATAAAAAAGTTATTCTAAAATCAAATAATATATACCTAATTAGAGCTATCCGACGACTCCGGCTATCGAGCGAACTTTGGTAAGCGATATTTGAATTCCTTGCGCTTTAATAGTTATAAAATTAAATTTAGAAATTCTTTTTTTATCTGAAAGCCCATATTTCGTTCTATAATTTAAAAAAAAAGTCTTAAAAATTTAATAGAAAATAAAAAAGTTATTCTATGTATTAATAACGTACACCTATTTTTTTAATAAGAGGCGAGATTTTTGATGGTTACGGACGCTAATTTATTTACCCGCGATATCTAATCAAAAAGCGTAGATCTAACGAATTTATAATTAACTATATATATAAATTCAAGATTTTTAAGCTTAGCTCTATCTTATTCTATTATATATACTAATAATTAGAGTATTCTAAAATTTAGAAAACTTAATCTTTATTATATCTTCTAATAGTTATAAAGTCTTTAGAAAATTATAATTTATCGTTATAAAGTTATTTTA